CACACACACACACACACACACACACACACACACACACACACACACCAAGAAATGCTGGCTGTTAGATAAACAAGCCAGAGAAAGACAGATTCTTGGGGAAAACCCAAACCATAAAAATATCTGAAGCTGCTGTTGTGTCTCTGAATGAGAGAGAGAGAGAGAAAAAAAACAGTTGAAGGTCTAAAAAACTGATTTAGATGTTTGGTTTTAAACAGCATTCAAAATTCTGTCTAGGCAGTTTTACAACCTTCCTCACTAGAATGTCTGGTTGTGGTATATATCATTACAAAAGCAAAGTTCAGAATAGTCAGACATGCAGGAACTAAAATGTTGGAATAAATATTTATGACACACTATCTCAAAACCAAGGGAGAAGATAACTTGAGAGAAGCAGACGCAAAATAAAGAGTAGCATTCTATAATACATATACATGGCAATATTATGACATACCAACATACAAAACATACCTATTCCTATGCTTAATAAAATTGCATCAATCTGTTTGGCTCTTAAATTTTTACCTTGACCAAGGAACTTCTAATCATGTATGAGTGAAATCAGCAAGGAAAGAAGGGTGAGGTCTCTCTTAACTGAAGGGGGCAGGATGAGGACAAAGCCTCATTTCTGTTTATGGCTATCAATTTAACTTGCCCTAATCTTTCTTCATTCCTTGAAACTTTTCACAGAAGGAACCCAGCTGGGGGAAAATAACAATGGAAAAGAAACACAGGAGATTCAACCTTAATCAGGTTTTAATAACACAATCATTTGTGCCAGAAATGATTAACGTTGTCTACTTTGTATATCAGAAGTGAGAAAGCACCAACTCAAAACCACATCTTAGGGCACATCTTCGCTAGTCATGTAGGTTAAAATAATAATGCAACCCCTCTTTTCCCCATTTAGTTGATGAAGGAGAATTAGTGCCTTAAATATACCATTGATCTAAAGCATAAAACAAAAGATATACTTTGGTCTTTGCTTAACAAACCCAGTCCTATTCAGTGACATCAGAATATTTTAAGTGCCATGCATTATGAAAGAGCAAAACTCAGATTGCCTCAATTTTCATGTACTATTTTGCATATTCCATCATAGATGACAATGAGGACTCAAAATAATCCTGTTCCTTTACTTGTTGGGCAATAAATATATTGAGTGCAGCTTACCAAGGCATTTATAAAAAGATTGTTCAGTGTTATGACTTTTATGTATATTATGGAAAGTTTAATAATTCGAACAGAAAGCAATGCATATGAATTTAAAGATGTGGGGATTTGCAGTAGAAAAACCTCAGTGCCTCTATAAAGAGATAGCCAACAGCAATTGGATTCACTTCAAAGCTGCCTGAGAACAGTAATAGCATAAAATACACTGACTATAGATTTGCCAAAGATTGTTTTTAATGTATATAAGTACAAGACACTTATACACTTGGTTTGAATCCAGCAAGAACAGCAATGATTAATTGAAAACACTTCACGGTAGTGTGTGAGTGTTTAGATGTACGCACAATCGAGAGAGAGGGGGGGAGGGAGGGAGGGAGGGAGGGAGGGAGAGGGAGGGGGAGAGGGAGAGAGATTGATTTCTGGCTACAGAGACTTCTTCCTAATGCATCCATCCAACACTTTTTGCATTATGAACCTGGCTTGTCTACAACAGTACTCAGCAAACAATGAAACCCCAGTCTGGCAATGTACCGCTTATGTCCAAAGAAAAACTGAATAGCAGGAACAATACGGTTTTGCATTTCAAAATGTACATTTTGCCAAGACCCAATGCAGAAAAGCAAGTACAGAAATTACCAATCAAAAAACTGAACTAGCACCATTAACCACACTTGTAGTGCACACACTGTACACATTTGTCTTCCTGCAGGGCCTACTGTAGCACAACACAGATATGGAATAAGACAGGAACATTACATTTTCATTGCAATCTGAATATGTGAGCTTTTTATTATCCCCTTTTTCCTCTTTGCCTTATGGTTTCTGACTCACCCCATCTATCCTGACCAATAGCCACACAGATGGAAATGGGGCTTGCTATTTTATTAGTGAATACATCAAGCTATGGAGGAATTTCAAAACAACGGCACAATCTAGAAAACAGCAAACCAGTCACAATAACTGAAACACTTGGAATAATGCAATTTATGTTTTGTCCCAACCTCAATAAGTAGGCTATCTAGCTAGTCAAAATTCAGAACATGAACATTTGGTTTCACAATCAGAATGTTTTGTGTGTATCTCTACTCGATGAACGACCTTGAAGGAGCAGCTATTAACAATTCCTAAAGGAGACAAAGGACTTGCTCACATCAGCTTCCATTGGCTGCATTTAGTCTTCGATTCTGGGGTGCTTTTAAATATAGATGTTAACTTGTACCCCCACCCCCGAGCCGAGGTGGTGCAGTGGTTAGGGTGCAGTACTGCAGGCCACTTCAGCTGACTCTTATCTGCAGTTCAGTGGTTCTAATCTCACCGGCTCAAGGTTGATTCAGCCTCCCATCCTTCCAAGGTAGGTGAAATGATGACCCAGACTGTGGGGGCGATATGCTGACTCTGTAAACCGCTTAGAGAGGGCTGAAAGCCCTATGAAGCAGTATATAAGTCTAACTGCTATTGCTATTGCTATTCCAACTTCAGATATAAACATTTGGCAGAGTCCCAGATTAATTGTACAGATCAAATGCAGCAGTCAGCTGAAGGCTTATTTTTCAGCCCACATTAGCTAAAGCAGTGTTTTTCAACCTTTTTGTGCAAAGGCACACTTTTTCATGAAAAAAATCACGAGGCACACCACCATTAGAAAATGTTAAAAAAATTTAACTCTGTGCCTATATTGACTATATATAAAGTAATTTTCCCACGGCACACCTTACACTATGTCACGGCACACTAGTGTGCCGCGGCACAGTGGTTGAAAAACACTGAGCTAAAGCATGCATGTGTGGCCTCTAATCTCAACGTTTTCCAGAAAAATCCCCTACCCCTCCAAAGCAACTTAGGAATGGTATAGAGTCTTTTGCTCAAGCATGGGTTGGACTAGAAGACCTCCAAGGTTATTCTATGTATTATGAAAACAGGTTAACTCATTCTCAATTATTTCAAAATGTTTGAAATATGATGTTTCAAACTGGTTTTAGCCAAAGCCAGTTTTATCTTTGGCTACCTTTATCTTTTTTTA